ATTTTATTTTAAAAATTTTATAGACGAGCATCCATATGAGGTAGATGTCCGCCAATAATAAATGGACTCTGGTCCAAATAGTATAGACGAAAGTCTATTGTTATTTTCGTAGATGCTTATCTATTCGTGATGAAAGGTCGTCCATCAAATATGGACGAGCGTCCATAATTGTTGGACGGTTGTTCATTCACGAAAGACGTATGTTATTTCGACGTGGGCGCATCTGACTGGATGCTACATTGTCGGTACCAAATTCGGTGTAAATTGTGGTGTCCGTAGATATATATAATATATCATAATATATATATATATATATATAGTAAAATCTCTCTATAATCATAATGGTGAGACTAACTAATTTTATTACTATGAGGAAGTTATAACTTAATAGAGGTGTTGTTAAAAAATTTTTTTATTTCATAATTCATGTTTTAGTAGTACAATAGTAGGATTTCAATTCATGTTTTAGGAGTACAATAGTAGGATTTCAATTCATGTTTTAGTAGTACAATAGTATGATTTCAATTCATGTTTTAATAATATTAAGGTTTCAATTCAGCGCTTCAATTGCCTACTTTTGAAACGGATGGAAGATTGTGTTTTGAAACCAACAAAGATAACCGTCCTTGATGAAATTGTAAATGTAGCATGTCAACTGATGTGAAGCTACAGACAATTGCTAATTATTTTTAGCATGTCAACTGATGTGAAGCTACAGACAATTGCTAATTATTTTAAGTATTACAAAATTAGGACCCCCGATGTCAATGAATTGAAAGTTACAAATGAAGTGGATGAGAAGAATCAAAGAGTCATTGTAGAATTGAGTGATCAGATTCGACAACTTCACTGCACTAATTAATCGAATGAATATTAATGTCTTCCTTAATCATCCAAATGAATAACAAGTCATGTATGTTTTAACAAAAGAAGAAATTATTTCTACAATTAAACAAGAAGAGAACGGAAATAATTATGAGGATGACAGTACGGAAATACAAAAAGTTTCATGTCAATAAACTCTAAACATGCTTGAGAAGCTAGAAATGTTTTGGCTTTAACAAGAAAATGTCCATGTTAGTGAGTAATGTACCCCCAATTTAAAAGATGTAATAACAACTTTAAAGCATAAATTATTGTCCCAAACAACTTCAGATAAATATTTTATTTCATCTTAAACCTTTAATATAACATACCATTTTTTTTTTTTTTTTTGCAATATACAGATAATTATTACTATGTAGAGGCAACTTTCCTTAAGACGAGAATTAGAAAAATTATAACTTATTACAATGTGGAGTTTATTCTTATTTATAACTATCCCAAATTGGGACTATAATTTTTTATGACTATGTAGAGTTTATTCCTTTATAGAGTATCACTATAGAGAGGTTTTACTGTACATATAAATTTGAGATAGTTATAAATAAAAATAAACTTCACATTGTAATAAGTTATAATTTTTCTAATTCCCGTCTTAAGGAAAGTTGCCTCCACAGAGTAATAATTATCTGTATATTACCAAAAAATATATGTTTTGTTACATTAAAGGTTTAAAATGAAATAAAATATTTATCTAAAGTTGTTTGGGACAATAATTTATATTTTATAATTGTTACCACATCTTTTACCTTGCTAGTATGTAATAACTTGCTAGCGTGAACATCTTTTTGTTGAAACCAAAATATTTTTAGCTTTTCAAGCATGTTTAGAGCTTCATGGCACGAAACTTTTTGTATTTCCGTACTATCATCCTTAGAATTATTTCCTTTATCTTCTTGTCTAATTGTAGTAATGATTTCTTCTTCGGTTAAAGCATACACGATTTGTTGTTTATTTGGATGATCGAGGAAGACATTAATATCCATTCAATTAGTGTAGTGAAATTGTCGAATTTGAACACTCAATTTTGCAATGACTCTTTTATTTTCCTTATCCACTTCATTTTTAACTTGCAATTAATCGAAATTGGGGGTCCTAATTTTGCAATGCTTAAAACCATTGGCAATTATTTGTGACTTTACATCAATTGACCATGCATTAACTGTATTTATAGTTTCATCAATGACACTTATCTTTGCTGGTTCCAAGACACGATCTTCTATTTATTTCAAAAGTAGACAATTGAAGGGCTGAATTGAAATCATAATACTACTGAAATATGAATTGAAATCCTAATACTGTACTACTAACACATAAATTAAAAAAAAAAGAAATCAAAACTATAATTTTTGTAACTACACCTCTATTAAGTTATAACCTCATTATAATAATAAAATTAGTTGGTCTCACCATTATGACTATAGAGATGTTTTACTGTATATACATATAATACTTATGATAAGGTATTTAAAAATTACAAACAGATATATACTTATGATAAGGTATTTAAAAATTACAAACAAATATATTATGAATATTCAATTTTGTCTTATTCATCCAGGGTTATTCATTAGTCACCCATATACAATTACAAAACAAGTATCAAACGCTAAATAACTTTTGCCACTTAAGTTATTTTGTATTAAGACTTAAATGTGGTCATTTGTGAAGGAGTTTACTGCAGTTTTTGTTAGAATAATGCTCTGGTCTACAGGGAAAGTCCTGGTCAGTAGGGACATTTGCTTGTAATTGAATTGTTCCAAGTTTCTGTTACCACTTGACTTTATTTCCGCTAAGTAGGCTGCTTTCTCATTTATGTTAAGATTGTGTATTGAATAACTATTTAAGCCTGATAAAACAAGGTCATTCAATTTAACTTGTTGTGTTCTTGTTCTTAGTTTCATTTCATCTCAAAGTTCCCAACAATTTGAAATAATTTTACTTTGGAGACTGGACCTTTAATTTTGTAATTATGTGCATATAGTTATCATTTTATAAATTTTTTGAAGAAATCGTTATATATTTTTTTTAAATATAGTAATTTGAAAAATATTTCACGTGTTTATCTCGCTCTCTTTTTAAGCAAACAACCATTATAAAACACATAAAAAAAATGACTTGTGAAAACGTTCTTAATTGATAAAGTTGGTCTTTTCTTTACCAAAAGACTGGGGGAGTAATGTATTGACTAAATTTAATTAAAAAGTATAATTAATAAATTAAGAAAAAATAATTGAATTTAAAAAAATGGATTTGATCTTCGACTCATTAGATATCCATAGGGTTACGGTGGGCCATTCATTTAAAGATTTGGTAGTTCACACTTTCACAATCACGTGTGAAAACATTATTGAATTGAATAATAAGTCACAACAATTTAAAATAGGAAACTAAAAAGCAGTACGTGGAAGTTTCATTTGAATCCGTGATTCTAGACTTTAGAGGAATCTGATGAAGAGTAGAAGCTTCCTTGTTTGAAGTTTAATAATGAAATACAAAATTGCATTAGTAATTGGGTGACTACTGACTTGTTTCACAAGAAAAAAGCCATCTGGGTTTGTCTTTTTGACAAAGTCGTTATAACCAAGTTTATGTGAGACTCTATTACTAACCAACAAAGACTAACAGCGACACCAGTCGTGACCCTGTCAAATTTATATAATTTCAATATTAACAAAATCTCTTATGCATTATGTATTTTAGGTCTTCTTTTAATTTTTTATTTATTTTGTTATAATTAAGTTTTAAATATTACATCAAATAATATAATAACATTACTATGATATATCTCATAAATATTTTCAATTATTATTATAATATTTCTCCCTTGCACAGAACGTATCAATGTGTTTGCTTAGCCAGTTAACCTATATCCAGCGAAGCAGCAACAAAAGTGATTGCTTAAATTTACCGCTGCCAGGTCTTGCTGACGTCACTCATGATTCTTCCTTAAAAAACATTAAGCATGAAGATTCCCGAAACGCGGTCGTCTCACACATAAAATATGAAATATCCCCTAAACGGGAATGCGTCTCACCTGTTTTAATTGGAAGCCCAAATCAAACCCTACATGGGATGTGCGTGACCTACAAGAATCAAAGCTTAATATAGAAAAATCAAATATTTTTTCAAAAGAAACAGCTCAAACATTTGCGGAGAGTAAAAAAGAGAGAGATAGACAGAGAGGCGGTTGTTGCGATAAAAGCTTGGCGGAGTCGTTTTCCATACTCTTTTGAAGGTCAGAGAAACAGCGAAACAAACCACAATAGAAACAGTCGCGTTGCGTTCTTTATAACATGCTGTTTTATATATACCTGGCCGCTGACTCTTCTCTGATCTCTCCACCAACTTACTGCTTCTAGGGTTTTCTCTCTTTTTTCTTATTTCTCTTATTCAAGGTAACTCTTCATTCTTGCCGATTTCTCTTTATTATTTTTTCTTACATTTCTGTCTCAATTTTTTTTTTTTTTGGTTGTTGAGACTTTTTAAGAAAAGTGACTTATATTTTGAATTTTCTTGAGTTATTGTCGTCTTTAGTTTTCAAGTCGGATAGTCGTATTAACATTTCTCCCCTTTTTTATTTTTATTTTTATTTTGAATGTTACCGTTTGTTTGGTTGCTTTTACACAAGAAAAATGACTAGGAATTTTAATTTTGTTCAGTTTTTTTTTTTTCGTTTTGATTTCTAAAGGCTGTGAATGGAAGAGCTGTGTTAATTTCTTGGCTTTTAGTTTTTATTTATTTATTTGTTTTTCAATCTTTGGATGTTACTGTCTGTTTGATGGCTCAGATTATTTTAGGAAGGTGATTCAGATGTTGAATTTTGTGCAGTTTTTTGTATTCTGGTTTGTAATTAGCTGCTGAGCCAAGTAGCTTTATTAATTTCTCAGTTGAAAATTGGAGTCTTTAGCCATATGTGTATGAATGAAGTTTTAGTTTTAGTTTTGGGTTTCATTTTTTAAAATCGCGAAATCTGGTTAATTTAAATTTTCTTATTTGTTTTAAATCTAGGTTTTTAATAAATAAATTTAAAATTTAGAGTAGCTTGTTTGGTGGCATAATAGTTTTAACTTATACTCCATTTGGGTTATAGGAGGAAATATACTACCATTTGTCATAATTGAACTTTTTTCACCTCTTCCTGGTTAAAAAGGCAACAACATGGTTGAGATGTTTGTTTATCATTTATTTATTTCCAGCTTCCCCCTTTTCGAGCTTTTTCTACTGCCAAACTGACCTGTAACGTATGATTATGCAGAGCCATGCCAACGTTTACTGCTATAGCTTTTGATAGGCTAATAGAACCTAGAGAGTCCAAATCTGTTGACATGCCAGTTCCCAATTCAAAGCCGCCGTTTAAATCAAAACCTGCTCCTCATCCAAATTCGAAGTTGGAGAGGAGAAATAGTACTCCAGTGGTCATTGGAAGGAAAGACAATCGTCCTCCAATAACACCAGCACTCTACACAACTCCTGAGCCGACTCCACTTCCTGATTCACCAACTTCATTCTCTCCTTCACCTTACATTGTCAATCACAAGCGGCGTGGGCCGCGGCTAGTGAAGAGTTTCTCGCAGGCTGATGTGGCCTTATGTGGAAAACCAGAAGATGAAGGAAAGGTCATTAAGAATGCTACAAAAAATGCTGAAACAAAGAGTGTTGATTCAACCAATGATGCTTCTGTCTCTTTCACTATTCCTGTACCGGTTGAAGGGGAACGCAAGAGTAATGTCCAGAGTAGTCCTGCAAAGGAACTTGTGAATGGTTTCCATGATGGTCCTACAGAAAAGGAGCATGTGAATGGTGTGCATGATGGTGAGCCTGGAAGCAGTAATAGGCAACTTGAGAGCAGTAACAGGGGACTCCCAAGCAGTAGTGCGATTAATGCTTTTTCTGGGAAAATTGATGTGCCAAAGCTTATTGGATTCAAGTCAGAGAGTAATAGTGAGTGTGAAGATTTTTTTGATCCACAGGAATCAATGAGTGTTGCAAGTAACACAGATGGAGAAGATAATACCTGGGCAGAAAGTTCTGCAAAGCTTGCTACTCCGAAGGGAGAGTTTTATGATGCTTGGGAAGGTATTTGGGCTTTATTTATCTGTTCATAATTTTAAACTTTATCTTTTTGGATACACATACATGCATTTATATCTTTCTTTTGTGCGTATGGGGATGCTGTCACCACATAAGTTATTTTTTCCTGTTTTTTGTTGATCTTCACATATTTTCTTGTGCCAACACTTGGTATCAAGAGTTGCATTTGATGTAAAATTATGTGTTTCAATTGGTGAAAGAGAATGTTTGGGTTTTACAAGAGCATAATTTTGTTTCACATGTCGGTAATAGCATTTATTACTTGAAGAATTTAAATGCAAGGTCCTCTGCATCATGAGTTTTGATTTGTATACACCTACATGTGGGCATTTTTCATCATTAATTTTGCGTATAAGATGCTCATAGGTAGAATTAAATTTTTTTCAGAATTGTTTTCATATGAGATTGGTAATTCCGAAGATTTGGAAAATATATAATTATTCTTTGTGTATGTAAAGCTTTTAAGTCATTATGCAAACAGCATTGGAGCATCACGGTTTCATAGTTAAACTATATGGCTAAGCATGCTCACTTTTATTAATTCCTCCAGAGTTATCATCTGATGGTGGGTCACAATCTTTTCCTCGGGATATTGAGACTGAACTGCATGAAGTAAGATTGAGTTTACTCATGGAATTAGAGAAGCGAAAGCAAGCAGAAGAAGCTCTGAATGATGTGCGAAGTCAGTGGCAGGGGGTTAGGGAACAGTTAGCTCATGCAGGATTGACACTGCCTGCGGATCCCACTGTTGTAGGGGAGGATGGACAACTGAATATTAATCTTGCAGAAGAGCTTTGCCAAAAACTTCATCTTGCTCGATTTGTATCAGAATCTATTGGGAGGGGCATTGCAAAGGCTGAGATGGAGGCAGAAATGGAAGCTCAGATTGAAGCGAAGAACTTTGAGATTGCCCGATTGTGGGATCGGCTTCACTATTATGAGGCAATGAATCGAGAAATGTCGCAGAGGAACCAGGAAGCTGTTGGTAAGAGTTCTGTACCTTGGATAATCTTCTTTCTATCCAAAAATTAGTTGTTTCAAATTATTTTTCTAGTCATCTTGGTCATAATTAATTTCTGATCTTTACAGTCATGTTTTTGACTTTGATTGCATTATTCTTCTCCTTTTTGTATATTCATATGCTCAGACATGCAAAAGTTGAGGCATAAGATCTGCTGTTTGATTTATGTTGAATGCTTCCCTTCACTTGACTTCGAAAAGGAATTTTATAATGCTTGCCGTGAAGACTTTCTATCTTTTAATTACTCAATTCCTGATATGCCGATGCAAGGATAAGCTTTTTTGTTCTCAGGCCAAGCAATTGAATATCTAAGGGCCCATTCTGAACACAGTGAATCTTCGTTTTATTTTAGCATTTAATCAAATAATATTTGAGTAAACCGTGTGTTTGTACCTGCTTGTATGTATGCTCATGTTACCACATTCGGTCTAGGTCACAATTTCTATCATGGTATGATTATCATGAAATTAAAATTCAATGTTGTTGGATTTGTAAATGAGGAGTTCATCTTTTAATTTTGTTATCTGTTATTGTTTTGCATAGAGATGACACGGCGTAATAGACAAAGAAGGAAAAGAAAGCAGAGGTGGGTTTGGGGCTCAATTGCTGCTGCAATTACCCTTGGCACTGCAGCCTTAGTATGGTCTTACCTCCCAACAGGGAAAGAATCAACTAGCAGTGATCCTGGTGCGCCTGAGCATGATGATGCAGCCAAGTAGTGAATCAAAAATTGAAGTTAGATCTCATGAAAAGAAGTAATGAGAATAAAAAGGTCATACATGCTACTTTGTGAATAGCAAGGATCTCTTGCTTTTATCAGTTGCAATTTTCCTGCTTGCAGAGGATGTATATTACCAATTAAATAATTCAAATATCTCAAGTTATGCCCCTTACTGGCAATCTTGGAGGTGCTGAAATTCGAATTCGATAGCCCCGGTTATCAAATTAATATTTGTTTTGCTTTTGTGCGCTTTAAAGACCGCACATGTTTGTTCACACACCCACATACACTCGAAGCTTGATGATTTTGTTCTATTTAGCCTCAGTGTTGTGGCTGTGACTTGAGGTGGCAATCAGGTTTTGGTTATTTGTGCATTATATGAGAGTTGAATTATTTCATTGGCATATCATATATATATATTTTCCTGTTGCACTTAGCAGTAAGGTGTTTTAATTTTGAATGAAGATAGGCTAAGAAACGTTTTTCACAAACTTTCTTTCACAAATCTCACATGACACTTCACTTGGCAGCCTCTATTTGAATTGTCATAGAATGATTTCAACTAGAACTAAGAAACATGGAGGAATGGTCGTTTCTTGGATGGAACGACCATTCCTTAGGGAATGGCCATTCCAACTCCAAACAACGACTATTCTGTCTTATGGAATGACTATTCCACTTAGAGGGACGGCCATTCTATGATGTAATGGTCATCTTTCTTACGGAACAGTCATTCATTCCTCTTGAAATGGTTTTTCTTTATACGGTGAACAACCGTTCATCCTTAAGGAATGATAATTTCTTATATAGTGAATGACTATTCATCCATAAGGAACGATCGTTCATGTCTAGTTAAAGCCGTGAATTAATGTGGTAATATTAACTCAATGTCATATCGGATTTGTGAGAGGAAGTTTGTGAAATTCGATTCTAATATTACCCGTTAATTTTATCACACCTTTAGTTCTGCACTGTTCTCGGGAAGACAATGCTTTAGAAGCAACGCGGGAATGAGATGAAAGGGTTCTTTTCGGTGTAGACGGAAGTGTGAAGTTGGGTACTACATTCATTTAGATTTTTCATACTATTTCAAGGGAATGATTTTTACCGGTACCAGACTCTGGTTCTATATAACAATATTTAGGTAATTCAAAAAAAATTTTAATGACCGTCTTTTCGGTATCAAATTAGCTGGTTTTAGCTTTTTCTTATGGAAACAAGATGAAATTCACATATGTGGTAATTGTTATAAAAAAAAAAAAAGGAGATTTAAAAAATAATTTTGAGTTGTGTAGAGTAGCCCATTAATCTTAAATATTATGTATATTAGGTTTTAATTTCATTATCATATTGATGCGTATGATCTTGTAATCAATGTTTATATATCTTCGTATTACATCAATGATATATATCTTTAAATGATACAAAGATGTAAAGATTTGGACTTAGGTGCAAGACTTCTGTGCAAACTTGATGGCAAATAATCGAAACGACAACGCATCAATAAACTTCATCCATCAGGCCCAACGCAAAAGATAAGAAGAGACAAATGAAGCAATCTCGAAGCGAAGCTCCAAGCATGGAGCTAACTCTACACATTTGCTCATTTCCTCGCAGTCTCTACCCTTGCAACAATATAATCCCATCTCGGGAAACTCAATTTCGATTAGCAAGGTTACGAAGGAAGAGTAGTTTCAGTTGTAGGAACAGTAACAACTCAAGCCTTCTATTCGCAGAGAAAGAGCAACAACAACTTTGGAGTGGCCAACAACAACTTGAATTAGATGAAGAAGAGGAAGAAGAAGTGTCTGAGGATGATGCGTCGTCGTTTCTGTCTCTTAATGTGAAACCAGACAGGAACATGGCGTTGCTTGACGACTACGAGATGGAAGAACTTGACTATACCTCTGACCCTAACCATAAAAGCGGTTAGCTCCTCTTTTGTTCATAATGTGGCAATTTTATGATTTTTTTTATAATTTTTTTGAAATACTTATGTATATATGGGTGAATTGCAGGGTATGTGGCTGTACTTGGGAAGCCAAATGTTGGTAAGAGTACGTTAGCCAACCAAATGATCGGTCAGAAGCTGTCAATTGTTACAGATAAGCCTCAAACGACTAGACATCGTATTCTTGGTATTTGTTCTGGTCCAGAGTATCAGGTTTGATTTTTAATGGTCAATAATCTTATGTTTCATTCGTTTTACATGTTGATATCAATTGTACTGGTCGTATATGCTATTTGAGTGACTGAGCTGGAAGCAAAATTTCAATCATGTTAGAAAAATGAAACTAACTGGAAATAAATTGATCACTGATATTGGACTTCCTATATTCCATGTAAGTGTATGTCAAATTTATCTTATTTAGTTATGAGTGATGCTGTTTTTTCTTTTAGTCTCTCCTTCTCTCTCTTCTTCCTTCTTTCCTGTGCGTGTATGTGTGTCTTATACTAACATTTAGCGTAACTGTGTTAGATTGTTAACTAGAGCTTTGCTTGCAGATGATACTATATGATACTCCTGGTGTTATTGAGAAGAAAATGCACAAGTTGGATTCTATGATGATGAAGAATGTTCGTAGTGCTGGGATTAATGCTGACTGTGTTGTAGTTCTTGTTGATGCATCTAAAGCTCCCCAAAAGGTATGCTTCCTTCTTCTTCTTTGTTGTTTTCTTTTTCAGTTTTATTGGAATGAGTGTGATATGTTGCATTTTTCTTTTTCTTTTTTTCTTAATAATTTATTTATTAAATGCAGATTGATGAAGTGTTGGAAGAAGGTGGTGGGGACATGAAAGATAAGTTGCCTATTTTGCTGGTATTGAATAAGAAGGATCTGATCAAGCCTGGTGAAATTGCAAAAAAGCTTGAGGTCATAACTTGTGGATAGATGTGTAAACATTTACAATTGCAATCTTTGCTTCTGGTCGCTGAAATTAATAATGTTTTGCTTACAAGTGAGTTATACAATCGGACAAAAATTGCACAAAATTCATGTAAAATGATTACTTTGTCCTTTGATTTTTGTCTAGTTGTATGACTTAGTTGTAAGCATAGTATTGCTCTGCTGAAATTGTGTTTTCTTACTTTTTTTTTTTTTTTTTCAATTGGGTTGTGAGAAAAATCAATAGTTTGTTAATCTTGGCACTAATGTCATCGAGAAAATGAAGGGTGAATTAGCTTATTGTACACATGTTGCTAACATTTTTAAAGTTGTACAGACACCGTATTTGGTTCAATAGACAGTAATGCGAGCCTTCTAGTAAAGGAAGAGGCTTCTACTGAAAGTGCTGTCATTTTTAAATATAGATAGATGATAATGAATCTTACTTGACAACTACCAGGTGGTTGACAACACGTACACTCCTTCTCATTTCTTAAATTGTTTATACATTCCCTTAATTCACCTATGTGGACTCAAGTTGCTCTTCTGTTAACATTCCAATTATGCTTCTGACATTTTTGTTTCTTTTGACAACTTTGCATCCTAATAAAAATCACATGTTTTGCAGTGGTATGAAAAATTTACAGATGTTGATGAGGTCATACCTGTGAGTGCAAAATATGGTCATGGTGTCGAAGATGTCAAAGATTGGATTTTATCGAAACTTCCTGTTGGGCCAGCTTACTATCCAAAGGTATTCAGAAAGATTAGACTCTAGATTTTCTGTTTTTGGTTGTCTTGTTTAATTACTCCTTCAGGCAAAGAGAATTGTTTGTCTGTTCACCGAACTCTTGTTGGTAATCCCTATTGTTTCATATAAGCCTTATCCCAAGTTTTTAAACCGGGTGCATTATTTAGAGACAAGATTATACATGTCTGAAATGCATGTTGTACAAGGAGATAGGCAACAGGTTTTATAAAAGGGAAAAGAAAGATAAAGTTCATTTGACAACTAATTTCCGTTTCTGGTCCTTTCTGATCAACTATCTTGCAGCATCTCTTTTGTTCACATGATTTTCTTTTAATACTTTTAAGGGCATTAGATTAGTTGCTTCTATAACGCAAATGCTTATTTTGTTGTACTGATGAGCTTCAGGACATCGTTAGTGAGCACCCAGAGAGATTCTTTGTAGCTGAGATTATTAGAGAAAAGATCTTTATGCAATATCGTGATGAGGTCCCTTATGCATGTCAGGTGTGTAGCTGGTTTTTTACAATTGCTTTTGCTTATATTCCTTTATTCCTCTTTTAAGTTTTGGGTGTGTATTTTAGAACTTTGGTTTCTGATATCTGAATCCTCCAGGTGAATGTTGTAAACTACAAAACTAGGCCAACTGCGAAAGATTTCATACAGGTGGAGATTGTTGTAGAGAAGAACACACAAAAGATAATCCTTATAGGAAAAGTGAGTACAGTTTTTTTTTTTTTTTTTTTTTTTTTGGTAAATACCCTGCATCATTGCTTTGGTACATAATTCTTTCTTTGTGATGTCTTGAGTTGGCTGGTGCGTAATATATGGGTGGGATGAAATGAGGACCTTGGCTTGGACGGGGACTAGAGCTGTCTAAAGGGAAGACAAAAGATGAAGGGAAGCAATAACAATTTCTCATTTGAAGGATAATATTGTCTTGGCCTCAAAGATCTAGGATCCAGCCCACTTAAAATGAGATTAATAATGCAATTCTATAATAGTTACCAGCGTGCATTAGCCTGCAATAGAATGTGGATGAAGATTTACGTGTTATTTGCTCCCAAACATGTTATCCTGAGCTTAATTTGATGTTTCTCAAATTCAAATTGGTCAAAGATTGATCTGGGGCATAAGCATCTGCACATATGCCCTACCAGTCTCTGATGTGGTGTACATATGCACACTTAATACTATCTTTGATGTGGTTTTCTAATTTTTTTTTATATAACGGAGCACTGTAGGGAGGGAAGGCTCTAAAACTACTGGCAACAGCTGCTCGGCTTGACATTGAAGATTTTTTACAGAAGAAGGTTTACCTTGAGGTGCCTACTTGAACATATCCTTTTATTAATAACAAATGTTCATCTGGGTGGTTTATATGATATTTAATTGTTGGGCTTTCTCCTTCTACAACCACACTCTATTATCCATAAAATCCATTTATTACTTGACTTCTGCATTGGATTTAAGCAATTTTATTAGAAATACTTGTTTTCTGTTTCTGGATTAGAAAATATTAACTTGAGCAGCTGATTTATGAAACAGATTGAAGTTAAAGTAAAGGAGAATTGGCGGCAAGATGAAGGGCTTTTGAAGTACTATGGCTATGGGGGAAAAATCCGGGCACTGTAATATGGAGTTTTGTCAGTTCCGGAATGCTATCAATTTTGATTTGAGATTGTTGATTAATATAGTAATAGAATGGTTTCATCAAATATGGGTTGTAGTTTTCATGTTCTCCGCTGATCTTGGTCTTGGAGGTCTAACATGATAATAAGGTTGTTATGTAGGAGGCATAAAGTGGAGCAAAGGGTTTAAGCTGAAGCCCAGTTCAGCATCTGGGCTACAACTCTTTATAAGGATAGCTGGAGAAAGCCCATAGTTCTCGTATTTAGATATGGAACTAATTTAGAAGTATGCTAAGTACCAATCGGCTATAAGCTCCATGGGCCAGGGCAGTTTGGCTTTTGAGATCCTTTTTCCTATCGTCTTTTGTGAACGAGGAGACATCCCATGCTGCATGTCTCCAAGTAAGTCGATCCATGTATGGTACCAATTTATCCGTCGTCTGCCGGCTATAAAGCTTAAGTGGGACAAATCTCGTGTTTATTAAAGGGTTTTACACACTTTAACAGACAAGCTCCACTCGTTAAATTTTTCTCTTATTTTTTTTCCCCTTCAAATCAAATGGATTCTAAATGTGCAGTTAATTAGTTAAGACAGATCTTTTAGATAAAATATTGTGTTCTTCGAGTGTGTACAAGGATAATGGGGTTGCGTAAGGAGCGAAAGACATAAAAAACAAATACATGAGATTGGGTTTGTGTGAATAAGCATTGATTTGACTGGGAAAGGGGCACATGCACTTCACTATGACATTGAATGAAGAAAATAATGGTGGGACCTCACCTTACCCACAAGACTTTACAACTGATTGGGGCCATAAATTAGGGATTAGATCACAGGTTGCGCCGCGTGTGTTGGGTTAGATTAGATAAAGACATAAAATAAAAGTCACTGGTAAAAGTACTTTTTATTTTATACTCCTATGTTCCATGCCATGACAAAGCTGATTGATAAGCCTTTATGAAGTAGGGTTACCTCTGAAAANACTCTATTACTAACTAACAAAGACTAACAGCGACACCAGTGGTGGCCCTGTCAAATTTATATAATGTCCGACTTACACATACCTAAGGTTTATCGTAACAATAAAGTGGTATCTAAAAGGTTTTAAAACGATAAATAAGTATCTTCCGTTATGTACTATTAGTGATTTCCGTTTGGTAATGGTAAAAAGACTATAATACCCTTGAAAGTTTGATATTTTAGTTTTTTATAAATTTAAAATTTTCTAAAAACTCCTTAGGTTTGCTAATTTAACTAAACATCCCAACATATAAATTTTTTATAAAATATCAAAAACACCCCTGCCACCCACAGTGCCAAATTTCGGCCACTATCGCCAAAATCTGGCCAGCAAATTGCGTTATGACATAGACCTATCAGATCTGTGTCGTAACGCGTTGATCTGGCCTTTTCTGGCTAGATCCGCTACGGATAATGCCGGAAAAGGCCAGATCTACGTCTAGACCTGGCCGTCAAGAGTTTTGCGACGTCGACGGCCAGATCTGGCCGGAAAAGGCTAATATTTCGACCAGATTCGGATGGTGGTGGCCGGAATTTGGCATTGCGGGTGGTGGGGGTGTTTTTATCATTTTACAAAATTTTTATATACTAGGGTGTTTAGTTAAATTAGCAAACCTAGGGGGTTTTTTAAAAAAATTTAAATTTACAAAAACTAAAATATCAAACTTTCAAGGGTATTCTAGTCTTTTTACTATTATCAAACGAAAATCACTAACAACAAATGACGAAAGGTACCTATTTATCATTTCAAAACCTTTTAAATACTAATTTATTATTACGGTAAAAACCTTGGATATGTGTACGTCGTTCTGCCTTCATATAATTTCAATATTAACAAAATCTCTTACGCATTATGTATTTTAGGTCTTCTTTTAATTGAAAATTAAACATTTATTTTTTAACCGTCAATTTGTTAAATGATATCAAAGTGTTTGCTTAGCCAGTTAGCGTAAATCCAGCGAAGCAGCAACAAAAGTGCTTGCTTAAATTTACCGCTGCCAGGTTGCTGACGTCACTCACGATTCTTCCTTAAAAAAACATTAAGCATGAAGATTCCCGAAACGCGGTCGTCTCACACATAAAATATGAAATATCCCCAAACGGGAATGCGTCTCACCTGTTTTAATTGGAAGCCCAAATCAAACCCTACATGGGATTGTGCTGACCTACAAGAATCAAAGCTTAATATAGAAAAATAATATTTTTTCAAAAAACAGCTCAACATTTGCGGAGAGTAAAAAAGGAGAGATAGACAGAGAGGCGTTTTGTGCGATAAAAGCTTGGCGGAGTCGTTTCCCATACTCTTTTGAAGGTCAGAGAAACAGCGAAACAAACCACAATAGAAAGAGTCGCGTTTGCGTTCTTTATAACATGCTGTTTTATATATACCTGGCCGCCGACTCTCTCTTATCTCTCCACCAACTTACTGTTTCTAGGGTTTTCTCTTTTTTTCTTATTTCTCTTATTCAAGGTACTCTTCATTCTTGCCGATTTCTCTTTATTATTTTTCTTCTTTCTGTCCAAATTTTTTTTTTTTTGGTTGTTGAGACTTTTAAGAAAAGTGAATTATATTTTGAATTTTCTTGAGTTATTGCGTCTTTAGTTTCAAGTCGGATAGTCGTATTAACATTTCTCCCCTTTTGTATTTTTATTTTTATTTTGAATGTACCGTTTGTTTGGTTGTTTTACAAGAAAAATGACTAGGAATTTTAATTTTGTTCAGTTTTTTTTTTCGTTTTGATTTCTAAGGCTGGAATGGAAAGCTGTTAGTATTTCTTGGCTTTTAGTTTTTATTATTTATTTGTTTTTCAATCTTTGATGTTACTGTCTGTTTGTGGCTCAGATTTCTAGGAGTGATTCAGATGTTGATTTTGTGCAGTTTTTTGTATTCTGGTTTGTAATTAGCTGCTGACAAGTAGCTTTATTAATTTCTCAGTTGAAAATTGAGTCTTTAGCCATATGTGTATGAATGAAGTTTTAGTTTTAGTTGGGTTTCCATTTTTTAAAATCGCGAAATCTGGTTAATTTAAATTTTCTTATTTGTTTTAATCTAGGTTTTAATAAATAAATTTAAAATTTAGAGTAGCTTGTTTGGTGGCATAATAGTTTAACATTATCTCCATTTGGTTTATAGGAGGAAATATACTACCATTTGTCTAATTGAACTTTTTTCACCTCTTCCTGGTTAAAAAGGCAACAACATGGTTAGATGTTTGTTTATCATTTATTTATTTCCAGCTCTCCCTTTTCGAGCTTTTTCTACTGCCAAACTGACCTGTAACGTATGATTATGCAGAGCCATCCAACGTTACTGCTATGCTTTTGATAGGCTAATAGAACCTAGAGAGTCCAATCTGTTGACATGCCAGTTCCAATTCAAAGCCGCCGTTTAAATCAAAACCTCTCTCATCCAAATTCGAAGTTGGAGAGGAAAATAGTACTCCAGTGGTATTGGAGGAAAGACAATCGTCCCCAATAACACCAGCACTCTACACAACTCCTGAGCCGACTCCACTTCCGGATTCACCAACTTCATTCTCTCCTTCACCTTACATTGTCAATCACAAGCGGCGTGGGCCGCGCTAGGAGAGTTTCTCGCAGGCTGATGTGGCCTTATGTGGAAAACCAGAGATGAAGGAAAGGTCATTAAGAATGCTACAAAAAATGCTGAAACAAGAGTGTTGATCACCATGATGCTTCTGTCTCTTTCCTTTCCTGTACCGGTTGAGGGGAACGCAAGAGTAATGTCCAGGTAGTCCTGCAAGGAACTTGTGAATGGTTTCCATGATGGTCCTACAGAAAAGGGCATGGAATGGTGTCCATGATGGTGAGCCTGAGCATATAGGCAACTTGAGAGCAGTAACAGGGGACTCCCAAGCAGTAGTTGCGATATGCTTTTTCTGGAAATTGATTGCCAAAGCTTATTGGATTCAAGTCAGAGAGTAATAGTGAGTGTGAAGATTTTTTTGATCCACAGGAATCATGAGTGTGCAAGTAACACAGATGGAGAAGATAATACCTGGCAGAAAGTTCTGCAAAGCTTGCTACTCCGAAGGGAGAGTTTTATGATGCTTGGGAAGGTATTTGGGCTTTATTTATCTGTTCATAATTTTAAACTTTATCTTTTTGGATACACATACATGCATTTATATCTTTCTTTTGTGGTATGGATGCTGTCACCACAAAGTTATTTTTTCCTGTTTTTGTTGATCTTCACATATTTTCTTGTGCAACACACTTGGTATCGAGAGTTGCATTTGAAGTAAAATTTGTGTGTTCAATTGGTGAAAGAGAATGTTTGGGTTTTACAAGAGCATAATTTTGTTTCACATGTCGGTAATAGCATTTATTACTTGAAGAATTTAAATGCAGGTCCTCTGCATCATGAGTTTTGATTTGTATACATCGACATGTGGGCATTTTTCATCATTAATTTTGCGTAAGATGCCATAGTAGAATTAAATTTTTTTAGAATTTTCATATGAGATTGGTGATTCCGAAGATTTGGAAAATAATAATTATTCTTTGTGTATGTAAAGCTTTTAAGTCATTATGCAAACAGCATTGGAGCATCACGGTTTCATAGTTAAACTATATGGCTAAGCATGCTCACTTTTATTAATTCCTCCAGATTATCATCTGAGGTGGGTCACAATCTTTTCCTCGATATTGAGACTGAACTGCATGAAGTAAGATTAGTTTACTGAATTAGAGAAGCGAAAGCTAGCAGAAGAAGCTCTGAATGATGTGCGAAGTCAGTGGCAGGGGGTTAGGGAACAGTTGCTCATGCAGGATTGACACTGCCTGTGGATCCCACTGTTGTAGGGGAGGATGGACAACTGAATATTAATCTTGCAGAAGAGCTTTGCCAACAACTTCATCTTGCTCGTTTGTATCAGATCTTGGAGGGGCTTGCAAAGGCTGAGATGGAGCAGAAATGGAAGCTCAGATTGAAGCGAAGAACTTTGAGATTGCCCGATTGTGGGATCGGCTTCACTATTATGAGGCAATGAATCGAGAAATGTCGCAGAGGAACCAGGAAGCTGTTGGTAAAGTTCTGTACCTTGGATAATCTTCTTTCTATCCAAAAATTAGTTGTTCAAATTATTTTTCTAGTCGTCTTGGTCATAATTATCTCTGATCTTTACAGTCATGTTTTTGACTTTGATTGCATTATTCTTCTCTTTTTGTATATTCGTATGCCCGACATGCAAAGTTGAGGCATAAGA